AATCCAATTTTTTTTAAATATTATATTTACGGACGAAAAATTATTTTTTCTGAACGCCAAGCAGAATACGAAGGAAATAGTTTATTGTTCTAGAAAGAATTATCATTGAAGTATCTCATATCTATCGGACAAAATTTTACCAGAAAGTAAATGTGTTGTATGGTGTAATTGTGCCACATTTAACCGGTCATTTGATTTTTTTTCGATGAGATGTGTACACAAACAAAATTTGTGAAACAAAGGTTTTACGTTTAATTAATTAGCAAATTGAAATTGAAAAAGTTGTACAGGTTTGACAGGCAGTATTATTTTGTATACCTTAGTTAATATAAATCCAATTTGAACTCTAGACATCTTTCTTTCCATTCGGCAAAAAATGACATGAGCAACAGTGATATATTCTGATTGATAAAATATAAAAGTATAATTTTATTGCACATTTTGATTTCGACTAAAATTATTTTCACCTTTATTGTAATTAACTACAATTAAGCCATATATTCAAATCATATACTCCAATTTTCATTATGAAAAGTTCCTCAATTTATCGATCATGACATTTTCATTCTCATTTTCAATTTGCATTAAACTGTTGGAATATATATATATATATATATATATATATATATATATATATATATATATATATATATATATATATATATATATATATATATATATATACGCTGAGAATTTAAAACTCGACGTTTCAGCACCCATTTTGGAGCCCTTATCAAGAGGGATATAGTTCTTTTCGAGTTCGGGGTCTCTATCTGCCTAATTCCCTCACTCGTGACGAGTAGGCAGATTGCCCTCAGTGCCGTTTGACGGTTCTTGTATTTCTACAGATACTGGTACATCACGAGTGAGGAAAGTAGGCAGATTGAGACCCCGGACTTGAATGGAACCATATCCCTCATTATAATGGCTACAAAATGGGTGCCAAAACATATCATATATAAAAACTGGTGAGAAACTGCAAAGATCTCGAAAACCTGGCAAAAGTTAATAAAGTGTCTTGTGTAGGTGCCGGGCCATGAAGGGATGCATGAGAAATGGGGATGAAAGAGCAGATTTGTTGACAAAATAAGGCTCGAGAGAAGCCTTTGTAGACCCAGAACCATTCTGTGGCATCACTACAAATGCTACAAAAAACAAGTATGAGAAGTGGCTGATAAGGAATCATCCAAAGAAATGGAGAGCCACTAAAAGGCAAATACAGACTAAGAAAATAATCAAGAATATTGATAAAGAACTCTCCGGCAATTTGATGAACCTTAATAAACAAGAGATCAAAACGGTCACCGAAAGGTGACTTGACATAGTCCTTTAGACTTTCTATAGACTTTCAGAAAACACCTATGCAAACTAGGTAAGATGAATCAACCATGGTGCAGAAAATGCGAAATGGAAGCAGAGACTGCCATACACATCCTTTTCCATTGCAATGTGCTAATTGATATGAGGCAGGGCTTCACTGGTTAACTGAGGATTAAACCAGAAGGGATTCTAAAAATTACCAATAGACGTTCGTTGAAGGCCACATGATTTATTAGAGTTTAATAAAAAAAAAACAATGTATGGTACAAATGTCTTAAGACGCCAAAGATTATTGAGTTTCGCCTGTACTAAGAAAAAGATTTAAATTTGTAGAACCGACGACAACCCATAGCTACCAGTGACCAACTGACATCATCTGTAATACTAAGAATGTCACACATATACAATATAAATTGCTACAGCCTAGGTATTATAAAGGAAGAAGAACCAATGAAATTAGATTAGAGTAATAGTTTGTAGATTGATCTAGTTGTTGTGAGGAGAGTGTCAAGTAGTATCAAAAAAGAACTTGATTCTGATATAAAATAATAAGCCAACATCTATTATGTAAATCACGGGTAAGGAGCAATTGAAAGTCTAATAAACAATAAAAACGCTTAAGAATTCTATAAATCTTTGAAACTTAACAAGTTTCGAAAGTTTTCGATAAACTTTTTTGCTATGTAAAATATTAATATCCAATTGGTTAAATTTCAAGAGAAATTGATTGCGGATGAAAATCTTGCATGTGGCAAGGATATTAAACAAAAATCCCAGGTCTTTGTTACATTACAGAAAAGGTAATGAACGAAGGAAGAGGTTGCACAGAATTGGTTGAAACCGAGTGATAAAAATCGGGTCAACAAATTTGAAAGCTTTATGATCATTGCAGCTACGAATAAAATGAATGAATCCTTTCTCAATAATAATTCTTTTGTATATCCAACAGAAATTATTAGTCTGGTTAATATTACAAGTGCTTTGCAAATTTCTCCGTTCGGCAAGTTGTTCAACAAGCATATTTTTACAATTTTTAGGTATTTGCCTCTCTCATTCAGGATACAGTATACTTTAGAGATATATGGCCCTTGAAACCATAGCCATAGCTTAATTTTTACGTTTTTGTAAATTTGAACATTTGTTTGAAATCGATATCGACTATCGATGGACTCAGATCTACGGAGCTACCTTTATCTACGGATGTCCGATGAGAGGCAGGTGCCTTAAAATTGCACTAACATGGTATTCATCGAAGAAATTTCGAATGTCATGACCGAAAATTGATGGACTATTTTGATAAAAGTTGAGATTGAAAAATTTTAGTTTTACTTTAGTTTACAAGATGCTTCTTTTGAAAGCAGATACTCCTACATGGCGTTAACTCAGATTTTTATTTCTATCATCGAGAAGCTTTAACTCTAGTAAACACTTTAACAATCTACTACTTTTGGATACCTAATACCTACCTAATGTAAAGGGTAATAATTTTAATTATTTGAAAGCAAAAGCTTTAGCTTTAGAAAAGGTTAGTTGCAATTATGCCACAATATCACGAATTTAGAAACACCTTGTACACCTATACGTATGTTATATATGGTAGAGTGTTATTAAGTAGTTAGTGAAAATAAGCTATTTGACTAGTAGATAAATTAAAACCCGATATTAAAACTAATCAGGTTAACATTTATCTACTTTTTTTTTAAATTAATATTTAAAGCTGTTTTAAGCATTTGGAGAAATTAAGTTAAAAATTTAAGTATAATTTTATGACATATTTTCCCTTGTAAAGTGTGTTCTCTTCTACGAAAAAGAAAAAGGCGACATACTAAAAATATTGGAAGAAATAATTTCCAATGAAAAATATTTTTCTCTTCATTTATTAGGGAAATCCTAGCTTTGGAATGTGAAAACTAACGAAATTGAACATATTTTTATATGAAAATATTAGACGAAAGTAAGATTCTTAGAAATTCTCCGTAGCGATTGTGGGGATTCTCAGTGAGTGAATTATCTTTTCCCAATTACTGTGAAGACTACAGGAACTGTAATTTACATTTCGTTTCAATAAAGTATATTCAACTCATAATAAAATAAAAGGTCTCACTCAGTGTCAAGGTATGTGTCAAATACAAGCCCTCAATTAGCGGACCAATTTAAGAGTTTCCTGCTATTTTGCTAGTGAGAGGCTCCTTAAAGAATCGAAAAAAGACCACTTGGACGACTAACCTAAAAGTTTTATAATAAAGGAATTCTTTTAGTAATAATCTTAGCCAACTTCTTTTAACACAAAAGTTAAAATGACGCTTTTGAAGTTATAAATTTAGTTTTTAATACCCTCTCATTTTTATTAGATTTTTATATATTATAATTGTTACACATTTGCACCCAACGTGGGGCACCGATGTGTAACTAACGTTGGGATCCAATTGTTTAAAGACTTAGTATATATCATGTTTCAGTGCCCGTAGATTCATTTAGATCGTTAAATCTCTTCTGGGGTGAGCACATTTTGATATCCTTTCATATTTGTAGTTAATAATTTTCTATATCTTCCTTATGAGTATTATTGTGGACTTCGTTTTTATATATAACGTCAAAGCCACATGTCCGCTAGAACCTTTAATGTAATTTAACTAATTTGTTTATTATTATATTTATTTAATCCTTGCGATCGGTTTCTCTGGCAAATAAATGTTTGAAATTTTATGCAGTCGCTAACACACGGATTCTCATTTTAGTTTTTTTTCCTTAATAAGTTTTTCTTGTTCCCCTTGTTGGGCGGAACTTCCTGAGTTTCTTGGTGCACCACACATGGGATAAAAACTGTAGCAGCATAGCAGCTATCTGAAACTAAAAGGGTTCGATCCCCGGTATCTCAATAAATTTACAATCCAATCATACAGCTACAACCAGCATCTGAAGCCATCAACGCGTTATCTTATCAACTACATGAAGTCATAAGTATCAATTTCAAATCTTTTGTAAAGCTTTAGGCATGATTTGCTTTGTTGATATTAAAATTTAATTTTACTTTTTTTTAATGTACAATAAATATGATTAGTTAATATCCTATTTTATTTGTCCCAGCCAAGCTCATTTTTCAGATTTGCGTTTAAGATAAGACGAACTTACATCTAGGAGTTTGAGCTAGACGAAGCCTTAAACAATTGGCTCCCAACGTTAAGAGTTTTATTGTTACACATTGGATTCCAAATTTCTGAGAATAGTTTAATTGTTACAATTTACAGTCTCCAACAGGTCCTGTAGACCTAGAGCAGACTTTTTTTCAGCTATTTTATTTGTAATGACTACTGCTTGAAATAGTTATGTAGTAAGAATAAATACTCATACGCATATTTTGCAACCAAGATCTTTTCGTTTGGTACTGCACAAGAAACTATATATATTCCGTCATATTTTATTAAACTTGCAACACTGGGACTTTTAAGAGAAAATATGCCACCAAATTGTATTCAATAAATAATTAAAAATTTAAACTATCAGCGTCAAATTCTTTAAAAATGACAGTGGTACATGTCATATCGAAAAGAATTGCAAAACAGAGACGCGTCACAAAAACAAATATTTGTCTAAACTACTACTAATAATGAAAATGAACAGTATCTATTACAATAGAATAATTTAAACTTAATCCTAACTGAAGAACTTATTTGGGCTTATTACACACACTTATTGGAACTCACCTCGTCTCCGTCATACGTCATATCTAAGGATTCTCGAGATCCTCGACGGGAGTTCTTGTCTTTAGCGCTGCCGGGTTTTCGTCTGTCGTCGGTTAGAAGGTTTCTAGAATGTTTTACAATATCCAAAGCCTACAACAAAAAAGTATATGTGTGGGTAATGCTATAGCAACCTTAAGAAAAATAATGCCACTAAATATATAAAGTCACTACGTATTAAAACTCACTAATAGTAAAACATTATTAACACCCTTATTCAAACTACTACGAACGTCTCGATAACAAATGAAGTATATTATTCGAATATCCATGATGAAGTTATTTAGTAATTACTCAGTTAGACAGTAATTGCTGATAAGATTCTATAACTCTTAGAGACACGCTTGAAATTAAAAGACTTATAGTTTTCTAATGTATGCATTCCGGATTATTTATCTTACATATATGTTCTATTGGTGATATGTCTGGAAAGTGGGAATATAAAAGGAGTAGAATGATTTTTTTGTAAGAACCTCATAGTAATCCTTCCTGTATGAGTACGTGCGTTGACTTAGTCGCAAAATAATTCAATTAACGCTCGTAAAGATGCAGTGCAACAGACTGCATAACTTCCCGAATGTAATAATTTACAGAAAGACGGTTGAAATACGTATAAGCGGATGGCAGTGGCCCTTCATTGAAATTAAATCTCAACCGTATCTTGCTTTGTTTATTTACTCATGTTCGAAGTATTACAAACAAATTGGCGAAGGGTATTTGCCGTGGTGAACAGGTCGTGGAAGGTAAATTGTAGATTCCTCTTGTCAATAAATTCACCAATCTACCTGCTTTATTGCAGAAAGGGCAGTAGACAAATATTTAAATTTTAGTGTCGCCAAGTAAAAAATCTTCAGATTTCTACTAATTTTGTAATCATTTACATTCAAATTTTTGTTAATAACAACCAAAGGTAACCTTCTACTGTATGTTATGTCTCCAGAAGAACTGTATGCTGTTACACAGTAAATTGTAACTTTTCTAGGCCCTCTCTGTAATATCTGTAGTCTTCTGCAGCCATATTGGACTCAAAGACAGAATTGGAACTCATCATAGAATACAACACGATTCCATTTACCATTCAAAATTGACCCATCGTTACACCACTCATGTAAAGGATTTTTGTGAACATGAGTGTCTGAAAAAATCATAACAACTTACCGTTGTTATGTTACCAAAGCATAAAAAAATTACTGGTAATGATATTATTGATAGTCTTGTTAAAGAAGCGAGTAGCACTTCTTTTATTAGACTAGAACTATGTTACGGTATAGAAAAAGCAGCATAGCAGAGAAAGTCCGAAAATGGAAAACAGAATCTTGTAGAAATATAAAAAATAGGATAAGTGTAGTAACCTTTTGAAAAAATATTCCAGATTACAGACAAGTAAAAAGATTACTCCTTTTAGAGCTCTAGAAAACTGAACTTCAGTAATCCAGATCTTCTCACTAAAAACTTACAACAGTTTTAGAGTTACATAATTTTTTAGTGTTTCATATATTTTCTTTCTACATGTGAACTCGGACATTCCTGCCGATTCGCTCAGCTTTTCTAAATTAAACTCAAACCATTTAACCACCCAATAAATCTATCAGACGAACAACAAAAGTACCACAAACAAACGATTTAAAATAATGTATAATCAAGGGCATTCAATGCATGAATTTGAATATATATATATAAATAAAAGTTAACACAACTTCACAATTTTAACAACTATTGTATGTTCATTTAGAAAAGATAAACAGCATTCTTTAAAATCATAATTTTCAAATTCAATCTGAAATTATATGAATTGAATGAATTTTTTCACCTAATAAAGGTAATATTTTCAATAAATATGTAGAAGAAAAATAGATTTAGATTAAGCAAGATGTCAATTTTTCTCCTTTATATATCGCTTCTAAAGGTAATACAAACTTATTTGTAAAGGGAAAAATAAAGTTAGCAGTCACGAGACAAGGAAACAATGAAGGCCTAGGGTAGGAAAATTATACCAAAAATAGTGGTGAAAAATAATCGAATTATTAAGAGATAAACGATATTACTAGACATAGAAATATAATCAGTAGGTATAGAAATTTAACACTAAATTTCTGACAAAATAAGTTGGTTCATAAGAAGCAAAGACTGAGCTTGATAAAGCCACATACAGATCATTAAGAACATCCAATAGCCTAGCCGGCCAAATCTTGACGAACAATAGAATCGAATGTGCTATCAATAGTTTTAAGCTTTACAAGTCTACTGGTGAGGATGGTATCTTTTCAGCCCTGGTCATGCAAGGACATGTATATCCTACTGTGTCACCTAGCAAAAATATGTAAGATTAGTTTCATCTTAAGTTATATTTCGAAAAATGGCGACAGTTTGGGTCTGCTGTTTTCATAGACGTATATATTAACATAGACCGAGTATACACGCACGTTGACGAGAAAATCTCTTGTGGTTGTTCGATCTATCTGTCTCTAGTGCATTGAATCTCCTCACTCTCTCACTTTCCCACCAAAAAGAGACGCTACTACATTTACAAAGACAGAGACACAATAAACAACGAAAAAAAAAAGATCGTCACTTAGCTCTACAGACTGCTCTCTCTCGAATGGTGCTACACCCAATTCAAGATTTGGCCTCCTCCAAACTATGCCTCCAGCCTTGCCGGTCTCGCGCCGATCCCAGGTTCTCACGTCTAGCAAATTTTTCGCGTCCGCTGCCACTTCATTCCTCCCACCTTTTCCGTTGCGCTTTGCATTTTACGATCTCAGGCCCTTTTCAGCAATCTTTCAGTCTCCATTCTCACTACATAACCAGCCCATCGAAGTCTCTGTAGTTTAACGAATTCTGAGATCGGTGCCTCTTTGAACAGTTGGTAAAGTTCATGGTAGTACCTAGATCTCCATACTCCGTTTTCGTTAATAGGTCCACGACTTTCTTACGACTTTTCTTTCAAAGACTTTTCCAGCATTAGTTTTGTATCTTCTGTCATAACCCATGTCTCGCGTCCGTAACATACTATTGGCCTGATAATAGTTTTGTAGACCCTGATTTTTTATCTCTAGTGTGTGTTTTTGGAGCGGAACACATGGACGAGTAAAAAGTATGCTTTGTTTCCCTTTACTATTTGGTTCTTCTGTTCTATCCGTGTTTAATGTAACTCCCAGATATATGAAACTTTCTAGTTTCAATATCGTCCTCTAATTCAACTGTGCGTCTGTTTCTTCTAGCTCTTGCCCGTGATAGTTTTTTTGTCTTTTGAATATTTATTTCCAGCCTGGTCTCTTCCGCCCCTGTTTTTCTGCTCAGTCTATGTTAATATATATGTCGACGGCTTTTTCCTAAGAATGACAAACATGCTACAAACGAATCAAAGACACATAGACCTATGAGTCTACCTACTTTCTTGTCAAAAATATGGCCAAATATATACAAGACCTTAACAAGACCGGTTTTGATATATGTTACTGAAACGTGGACCCATCTCAAAATGATACAAGGTATTTTTGAGAGAAAAATACTTGGAAATATTTTTGGGACTGTAAATGAAAATAAGTTATGGCGTCGAAAATACAACTTCGAACTATATCAGTTATACACCGATCCATATATTGTGAAATTCGTTAAAGTGTAGAGACTTGGATGGGCTGAATACATTGCTAGGATGTCAGATCACGCATACACGAATAGATTAACATTTTCAAAACCTGAGGGCACAAGAACTAGAGGACGACCACGAAGGAGATGGATTGACGATGTTGACGAAGACCTACAGATTCTAAAGGTTAGAAGATGGAGGGAAGTTGCCAGGAATCGACAGGAGTGGCGATTAATTGTGAGCAGGCCAAGATCCACAACAGATTGTTGAGCAACTTATGATGATTGTATGAACCAATTAAGTGAATTACGGAGAAATGTAATTAGGGAAGCCGACTCCGCATATAAAGTCTAAGAGAATGACAATGATTAATAATTATTTATCCGATCAATTTTGAAAATATTCACGGTGATCAACATTAATGGTATTTACTTCGTACATATTTTTTCAACAATATATTGAAAATATTACCAACTGAAAATTGTATTCATGCTAAAAACATCTACATCTGTGATTCATTATCAATTTAATTTCATCTATAAAAATATCAAATGTTTACTAATAAACTAAAAATTTCATATCCAAAAATATCGTGCGATACACTGAATATTTTACTTACTTGGCCCGTCAATTCCTAAAAAATTGCGCTTTATTAGAATAAACAGTATATCCGATAACAAACTGGGGTGAATATATGTACAAACACTATGTTGAGAATTTCTAAACAATATCGTTGATTGAATAATCCAAATAGATCTGCAGCCGTACACAAATTAAACGTAGCAACTATTCTGTTCTCAAAAACCGTGTCGCCATCTATGTTCGAGAGAGACAATTACACTACGGTTCAACATAAAAGATTTCTTCTCTTCATATTACCTCCCCTTAATTCTCAACGTAAATATTGCTTCCCCACTTTAATTCCTAAATACAATTATACATTCAAACTGTGCGTTTTGAAATTCTGTAACTTTTTTCTACGAACTTTTAGGTAGATAGAATGGTACATTTTATAGGAAGAGAAGTCAATTACCGTTACGGTTGTATTCTATTGTACGAGGTTGTACGACTATTTTTAAGCAATTTATGGTTTTTCAAAGCTTATACTTTTAAAGATTCTTGATATTTTTTATGATTACTTTTTAAAATTCGCATTAAACTTTTTTTCTGGTACCTTTGGGTATATACCTGACTCAAATTTTTTTATTCGGCAATGTATATATATATATATATATATATATATATATATATATATATAGATAGATAGATAGATATTATGTACTTAAAGGTACCAGAAAAAAAGTTATGAGAAATCTTCTTCTTACGGTGCCTATCCGTTCCGGATGTTGGCGATCAACATAGCTATCCTAACTTTGCTTGCTGCTATTCTTAATAGTCCGGTTGTCGATGTATTAAACCACTTTCTCAGGTTTTGAAGCCAAGTTTTGAAGCCCAGGTTCTTCTCCCTGGTCCTCTCTTTCCAAATACCTTGCCCTGAAGAATG